AAATAAATTATTTTTTTAATCTTAATTTAAATATACTTATAAATTTTATATAACTTCTTAAAAATTTTATTTTTACTAATATAGCTATTTAAGTATTTAATAAAAATGTTTCAAATTTTAGATAAAGCTTAATTAGCTAGTTATAAATAATATAAAAAAGAGGGGCTACTTTAGCTGTGTATTGGAACTTTTGTCCATGCACTGTATTGCTGCTTGTAGATGATCTCGGTTTCTATCCCCGGTATCATGTTCATATCTGCCCTCTTACCCTTCCCTTGCTTACAAATTTCTAGTAGAGTTCCATCACGCCGTTTCAGGATCCTCTAGATCACGAAGTGCTAATCGACGTGATATCTAGGAACCAAATGATGCCTCAACAAGTATCTCAAGCTCATCGGCAGGCTCTATGAAGCGACGACAATGCTCTGAATAAGGGACCCAAAGACGCAGCATATCGAGAGTTGAGAGACTCAGTTGATTCTGTAATTCATGGTCTTTGAGATCCTTCTCCCCGCATCTCTCCATCCCCCAGATTCTACCTCACTAGCTCGAAGACCATCCACCTCAAGTCAGGCATCAAGCAGCAAAATACCCCGACAAGCCAGTGCATCTACAACCTCCATTTCCGCCAACCATCAAAACAAAGCGCGACCCTATCAACAGTTTACGCGCTATCTTTGAGACAAGCTGTTTCGGTGAACGCCATATCGACTACACGCGTGTTCAAATGTCCACCTGAGCAGCCCTCACTATTCGAGATCTGGTCAGTCGCCCCTGTTGATATTATCTCAAATATCGACTGTCTTTTCACAGCAGTTGACGGACTAGAACAACATACAGAGATGTCTGTCAGAATCACTGCCCGATCGACGAAGGCTCACGGAAGTAGCTGGCATCACGGACAGCGCTTTGCAGACCAAAATGTTTACTGTCTTTCGTGATACGCGGAGAACCACAGCGACACAAAGCGCCCTTCCCCGAGCAACTGCTTCCTATTCATAGCTGTCGATGGAGTAGAACAACATACGAAATGACATACAAGAACCACCACGCGTTCTACAAGAACTTTGGCCATACGAACCTCCACTGCATCTCGTGCCTGATCGACTGCTAAGTAGTTGGCACCACCGACATCGCTTTATCAACCAGCGCATGTGCCATCTCCGTGATGCACAGAGAACCAGCGACGAAACGCACGTGTACTGAGAATCAGCCCGTGTCCAAAACACCATATTTAATCCGGACGCCTTCTCACGCGCGCCTCACGTCAAGAACTTGCACTTTCATCCAAGGCAGCAGCTCCGGATCATCCTATTAATAACTGTGGCTGGTAGTTCAGCGATTCCAGCGCCTCGACCGTTCGAGAAAGTGATATGCAGATGAACAGCTGAGAGGGACAAAGAAGTGATGCGCTCCCGTCGGCTCGCCGCATGAGGCAATTCGATCATGGCTCGAGCGACAACAAGGAACCATCTTTACATGAGATTAAAGAAATACTTGCATTTACCAATACGGCAGACACGATCTCGAAAGTGAAGCCGTTGTGTGGCAGCCACTTGGCGTTGAAGACCATATAACACACCGCAACGAGGAGTGCTCATCCCAGCGAGAGACCCCAGACAGCTGAACCAGAAGGGAGCTCTCAGCCACCCTGCGCGCCGAGAGGATCCTGGTGGATGAGACAAGGCTTCTCGGCCAGCATTTCCGAGCCTTAAGCCGGTGTATTGTTTCCTTGAAAAGACGATGTAATTCAGCGCAAGGATTTATTTTTCCACTAACCAAGCCGGGACGGACGATACTCTCCAAAAGACACACCTTTCCCGATAAAAGTTAGTTACCCGCCGCCGGAACGATATTGCTGATTTGGGTTATCTGTAATGCCGCGATTGGTAGCTGATGAAGCTGTCCATCTCATAATCGTAAATGAGGCAATGATCAGCGACTTCAGCTTATATTCATTGACCCCTGAAGTCTCACCCTGCAGTGACCGGCCGTGTTTCCATTGCACCACCAACGACCCTTGGCCCCAAGGTTGCCGCCAGTACAGGCGCCAATTGGAGTCTTTACAGCGACGGATCATCTGTAGGCTCTTACTTCATGTTGTAATGAGCGGCATGTATACGGTGTGTTTATTATGATACATCGTTGCTTTGGGGACTCTGGTCTAACCTTGTGACTCAGAATGGTTGAGGAATAGGATAGCAGGAAGTAAACATCCGCCAAGATTGACTTCAGCTCAACTCCGCAACTGAACCATCAGAGAAAATCAGGATCATCCGCCATCGTCAAGGGCCCCTGCATACATGTTCGATTCACTTGGCCGAGGTCCACTGCGATGTTCCCGTCTAGCAGCAAATGGCACCAATGCCACTAGCCTACGCCCTCTTCGTGCTTTTTAACTTGACCTCTCTCCATTTTTGGAACGTTCCTGTCAGTATTGCCGTCGCTAACTACCTGAGTAGTTCAAGGTAAGTTTGTAAACGATAGCAGTGTCAAACTGACATCGCCGAGTATCATAGCCCGGAAAACCATACCTCTGTTCAAGATCCTTTACGACTTTCACGAGATTCACCTGTTCCTCTACTTTAACGAGATGAGGTCCTTACGACATTAATATAACAACAGTTCAAGAAGCTACTGTCACACTTTGCTTCTCACTTAGTACAAACTACATAGAATGCCCGGAGCGACAGCGAAACGCATAATGGGTAATGGAAATAGACCCCAACCCAGTACAAAATACATCTATGTTCCCCAAGATCTAGTTTAGATACAGAGTTCAACTAACAGATATAAATTTTACAGATCTTCTCCTGTCACTCACTTCACTGCAACGGTAAAATTCACTGTAACGTAAGATCATCCACCATAATTCCCAGTATCGAAATGTACAGCCTTAAGATAGCTCTTGATATCGTTCTCGATGTTATAATGCCCGAATCCAAAGTATTGCTCGAGATCGTAGACTCAGAATTCACGACGCCTCTCGCAGTGCCACGGAGTGCCCCAAAGCCCCCTAGCATCAGCCGTACGCTACATATACTGTCTCTTAGAAAGTACTCACTAGCCATGTCGAGATCATTCCAACGCGAAGTATCATCGCATCCACTCCTATATCATCGAGCGAAGCACGTTGCGGGTCAGTCTTCTGGTCATATGGATAGATAATACAAGCAAAGGATGGATTATATCGACTCTAGGGAGTTCAATGTCTAAGATGCTGATAAGCCCCTCCTTCTGAAGTGCTGACCCTCTCTTGGTCGCTGATCTGTGGTGATCCGTTTCAACACAGACTGCTGGAATCGTTCTTCCCGAGTTGGTGCAGAAGCAATATGCGTTCTCATTCTTGACAAAACGGAATGATCTCTGACTGGGTCCATGAAGAGGTTTTGGTAGATGCTGTTGACAACGCAGGCTCCGTAGTTGTCACATTCGAAGATGTTGCTCAGCATTTCCTTGCGGAGTTTATTGTCATTATAGAAAATATTCATTTAACACTCGAGTTCCTCGCGTCGCTGCGTAAGGGGCTCTTACGACTTCTCAAGTCCATTAATCACGTCTACCTCGTAATCGCTTTCTACTTAGCAGATGTCTTTGAGGGCTTCAACGTCGATAATATGCTCTGTGTCGGTACCCAACTCTTTGGAGACAATACCCTTGAATATATCGACAGTAGATCTTTCTCTGTTACTGTTCACTGGATGGGTTCTGGTTGCCAGTGTTGTTCGATTAGACAAGTTTTATTAGTCCTCGCGCACGAACAATAAAACAGCTTTAATACCTTATTCAACTATGCTCTCACTCAAACAAACGCACTTCTCCGGTGCCGACTCATCCTCGGTTCCTGACCGGGCTTCTTGAATGGTTGACCTTTTTTTCAGGTCCCTCAGGCCTGCCTTTCGCTTCCGATTCTCCGGGCTGTGAGCTCGTCGCTCCTCATCTAAGGCTGCGACGTCGATGACTTCCGCACTGGGCTGCTCAAAGGGTGACTTAGTGGTCTCCTTCTGTCTAAATGCTGGCAGTAATTGCGTGAGTTGCTTTTGATTCATGGTTTGATGAACAGCCCTGCAAAAGATGCTATTTATTTCTAAATCGGAATGGTGTCCACAAAGAACAACTGCATTCTATCATCAGTATTAATGGTATATTAACGCTTGTCGCCGTTACGGGCTAAACCGTCAACAAGTCTGCCGCTACGCTACAACTTTTATGCGCACTATGATGACTTCATATCAACTTTGGCTTGTCGCCCAATCCGATGTTTGACCTTCACATGTTTGCGCAACCCCCGAAGCGTTGTCGTCATCCCCTCTGGCTTGAGCAACTGCAACCATTACAGTCATATATTCTAGTATAAGCACGACTTTCGACGCTTAATTCATTTCACATGTCTTCTGCCTTACGAGCAAGCATTGTCACTGTGTATCCATATCCTGCTGCCGCCTTAGAATCTTTTCCTTAAAGCTTCTAACAATATAGCCTTTAACAGTATCTAGCCTCTCACCAGCAACTTTAATCACTTAGCCGATAATATATATATCTTTTTTATAATAGTATAAAGAGGGGGCCAGTTAGCCCTTTAGTACAGTAGTTAAGTACCTAGGCAAGCCCCCTGCAGTAATGCAAAAAGCAGTAAGTTTAAAACCTATAAAGGGTATAAAAAGACCCCTTATTAAGGCAGGCCTTTAAAGTAAGCCTAGTATACTAACCAAGGCTAAGGTATAGGTTTATTACTAAGTATAGTTACTATAAAAGCTAGAGATTATAAGAGGTTTATTAGCTTTAATTAATTAATAAATTAGTTATAATAAGTTATAATAAGTTATAATAAGTTATAATAAGTTAAAAATAAAGAAAAAGCTATAATTAGTTTAAATTAAATAAAGCCTAATTTTCTTTACTTTAAAGGTTAAATAGTAATAATATAAGGGAATAATAAAAAATAAGGCTAGATTAAATTATAAAAGGTAGTAACCCTAGATAACTGCAGGCAGCTTAATAAAACTCTAATTTACAAGGGGGCTAGTTAAGCTTAGGAGTTCTAATCTGGCTCAGACCTGGCCTGCTTGTTAGGCTTCGCGTAAGCCTTGCTAGACAACCTCAGTGGTCTGATCCTGTTGAGTCTGCAATGGACAAGATATAGAACAGAGTAGTTGAGATAGTTGCCTGAGCTATAAATATAAGATAAATAATTGGCATCTCTTCAACTACAATAGAGGAACTTGTTCGCGGTCAACCTTTGTATCGCACAATGTTCACAGCCGGTTCGTTAATGTTTTTAAGGCTTAGGAGCATACTAACGAAAACCAGCATTAACAGACACCTTCCTTCGACCCGCTACAACCTGTTCGATCGAGGCACCATTACCTTCTCGTTATTTCATATCCCCATACACACCAAGCTGGATATACATTTGCAGACACGACTGCGCAACCTCGTACGCCTGCCGATCAAGGCATCATTGCCTTCAGAGCCGACCATGCTCCCCGCTGTTGTACCTCTACATGACTACCTGATATTACCCATGCCACAACTATGGGGTTTGTGTACTAGCGCAGGTTATCGTGTGTATAAGATTCGTCACAGAGCCTGGTTGACATAATCACCTTCCCGCAACTAGTCGACCCCGTTGTTATTAGCCTCAACAAGAAGAATCCATGTTACTGTTACTACAACTTGACAAGTTTCTCAGTCGTTATACTCTTCATCTGGTTTTTAAACCTACGTCTCTGACAACGAAGCCAAAGAGTGTCTTTCGACATTATACATCTACATCCCATCCTTCTATAGCATAAATAAACATCGACGACTTGAGTCACAACCTCCCAGACCTACAAGCTAGTATTAATATATATAAAGGGCACTTTATAATATAATTTAGGCTGCTATATTAGTATAAGATTTTTTTCTTTTTATACCTAAAGACTATAGAATTATAGTAATAAGTCTATATTATAATAGTACTACTTAATTTACTTTAAAATTTAGCTTAATACTTATAGCTAAATATTATAAGTCTTTTATACTATTTTAATTATTAATTTATTAATTTCTTATACTTATTATAAAAAAAGCTTAATTTTTACTTTTAAATTTATAATTTTAAAATTATATAGTAAAAAAGGCCTTATTATAAAC